CTCCCCGCCCCTCCCCTCCCAGGCTAGGCCGCTGCGACCAGGCGGCTAGGGCCTCCAGCCCGCAGTTTGCGCCAGAATCCAGCAGAATTCCGCTTCTAACCCACCCGCGCGCCAGGTCCGCACCTTGGGAAACAGCCCTGTGTGTTGTGACCAATACTGTCCCCCATTTAACAGGTGGGAAACTTAGGCTCCGGGACGCGTTGGCAAAGACAGCATTCAAGCCCACACATGTTAATTCCAGAGGCCCGCGTGCGCCTAACCCCTCCACAATTACTGTCCTTGATTCATTCCAACAAAATGAATTGTTTTCCTGCAACAACCTTATAAGATAGGTACCAGCAGCGTTGCCCTTTTATACGGGTGAGGAAACACGCTCAGACTGCAATGTGGTTCTGTCCAGGTGACAGGGAGAGAAGCAAAGAAAAGCCGGCAGAGCCCTGCCAATGATGGGAGGGGACCTTTGGGCATAAGAGGCATTGCTTAAAGCGCATCAGGGAGGAGGGACACCCCGCGCCCTTTTGCAGAAGGAGAAACTGAGGCTGGAGGAGTGGGTCGATCACCCAGGTCGCCCGAGGGGAGAAGGGAAAGAGGCTGATTGCCGCCCACCCAGCCCCCTTTCCGCTGCACTAGGCCGCTGGGGGGGTTGAGCGGAAAGAGGACTTGACCCCGGCCCCCAAGGTGAGCCCCCGCGCCCCTCCTGCTGTTCCCGGGGGAGCCGGTCCAGGTGAGGGGCGGGCGGGCCGGCGGGCGGCCAGGGTCGGGTTTCAGGAAATCCGCCGACATTCCTTCGGGGCTTAAGAGGGAAAGTTGACTCGGCGCCGCCCTCGCCCCCCCCCACTTCCTACCCCCCGGGGCGGCCTGGCCGGGGGCGGCAGGCGGGGGGCGCTGAGGCCGGCCTGGGCGTGAATCAGCGGCAGGCCAGGCGTCCGGGAAGCCACAGCAGCCGAGGTCAAGGCAGGCAGCGGACAAGCGCCCTTTGTCCCTTGCCGCCCTCACCACGACCCTGCTGACCCCCACCTCCAAGCAGGGTACAGGCTGGGGAGGAGGCAGGGTACCATGGCGCCGGTGGTTGTTGCTGAGGGTTGTTGGGGGAGGAAGGAGGGACGTGGCTGCCCCCCTAAAGCAGCTGGTGCCTCCTGGGATCCAGACTTCAGAGGCTTCTCAGGGTACAGATGGGCAGGGAACCTGGCCTCCCTGGGGCAGGTCTGCAACTTTCCAGGCAGATCCCCTAGGCAGGTCTGCAACTCCCCAGGCCCCGCCTCCAGTTCCTGAAGTCCAGAGTGCATTAAACTGAGGACCCAGGCATCCCTTCTCTCCAGGCTCAGCCTCCAGGGCATAAATTACAAAGCCTAGGGTACACACAGGCCCTACTTTCCTATGCCACAGACCCTGAACCAGGTGTCCAGACCCTCACTCTGCCCCTTAATTCCTGAAAGCACCTGCCTGGAACACCAGGCAGCTAGTCCCATACTGGGGGGACGGGGGGGTCCTGAGCACGGGGCTCTCAGAATGGGAGAGGCAGCTCTCAGCCTTGCTCCCTCCCAGTGCTTGTGGGTCCCCACAGGACCCTGAAGGTGCCGCTTCCACTGCCCCCTCCCTGGTGCACCCTCAGTGCCCTGGAATCACGAGGGAGCTGGGGATGGAGGCCCCCCAACCTAATACCTCTAATCCAGAAGTGACGTTTTTGAGTGGAGGGTGCAGGACTAAGGAGGGGTCCCTCCCCCACCCCAAGGAGAGGCCCTCCCTCTGCCCGAGGGGAGGCCCTCCCTCCATCTGCCCCTTATACGTTCCCAGCCAACTTCAAGGACTTGGGTCAATATTTGTCAGAAGTTCCGTTGACGCTAGCTCCCTTTTGTCCTCGAGATGATGGAAGTGGGGAGGAATGGGTTAAACTTCTGGGGGCCCTAAGGGCACTCTGGGGTCAACTCCCTTTCCCTGAAGTCAAAGGTGTGGGGTAAAGGTCACCCAAGGGCAAAGGTCACACTCCAGGGTGGGGCTGGGCAGGATTGGAAAATGGTCCCTCCCTTTCTATGGGTAAGAACAAGAGAGGGATGTCTACTGGCTAGGGTCACACAGCAAGACAGAGAGTGTGTGCCAGGCTTGGACCCCAGGCAGCATGACTTGCTGGGACTGAGTTTTCTTGCTACTTGGAGGGACTAAGTTCTCCATCCTCTGCTTTTGCAAATATTTAGTGAGTGCTTTGCTTTCAGCCCCCACTGGGCCCACCATGGGGTCCAAAGGGGCTGAGGCTGCCCACAGTCTAAAGAAAATCCGTTGCACAAGAAATGAAATGGTTGGAAGAGTTGTGTTTCAAAAACAATAAAACAAAGTGAAGGAGAGGGAGAGTGCTGGGGGAAGGGTGGAGGGCCTCTCTGAGGAGGTGGTACTGGACCTGTGACCTGATGGAGGAGAAGGAGCTAACTGGGGAACCTGTGGGGAACAGCATTAGAGCAGAGGGAACAGCCAATACGCATAGTAACAAGCCTGGTATGTTTGGGGAAACAGGGCTCCAATGGCTGGGGCGGAATGAGGGAGAGGAGGGGAAAGAGGAGAGGAAAGAAGAGGAGGGGAGAGGATGGCGAGAGGGTGGCAGGGCAAAGATCTGCTTTTTCTGTTTTTCAAAGCTCCCTTTGCCTGGTGTGCAGAGAAAGGCAGAAGGGTTATCAGAGAAGTCCCGGAGGAGGCCGGGAAGCATCCCTGAGGGAGACCGTGGGGCCTGAATCTGAATGGGGTGGGGAGAAGGGGTCGGAGTCTCAGAATGGAGATGTGTTTTGGAATCACAGCCAACAGGATTTGCTGATGAATTGGACGTGAGGGATGAGCGAAGGAGAGAGTTGTCACGTGCACTTCCAGGTCTCTGGCCTGAGCACCTGGATGGATGGGGGAGCCCTTTCCCAAAACCAAAATGACTGGAAGAGAAGTAGAAATGGAGGGGGGAATAAAATCAAGGTTTTGCTCCAGAAGCCTGAAATCCTCCCAGAAGGGGGTGAGGCGTCTCTTCCCGGAAGGGGGTGAGAGCATCTGCAAACAGAAGCCATGGGGGAGTAGTGGTGAGTATCGTAAAAACTCCATTCCAGCCAAGAACTGCCACCTCCACTTAACCCTCTAGGTCCCCTGGCAGGTAGGACTATGGCTCCATGTTTCAGAGGGGACAAGCAGGCCTGGGGGTCACCTCTGCTCCAGGAGATCCTCCAGTGCTGTGCTAAGGGCTTGGATTGTACAGACTTCTGCTGCCTTGCGTCTTCCCACGGAAGCTCTTAGGCTGGGTGGTGCCCATTGTGCAGAGGAAGAAACTGAGGCACAAAAGGCCTGGTTTTCCAAAGTAAATGACAGCGCCTCTCCTTGTCTCTCTTCTCCATCCAGAGCTCAGATGGGGCAGGGGCGCCCTGGGCCCGTATGGGCTCCCATCCCCCAATCTTGTTTTTTGATAGTCTGGAGTCTGAACTGGAGATTTAAGTAGAAGAGGGTGGGGCTTCAGTATTGGGCAGAACAATGGGGGCTCCTGAGCTCCCCGAGACACTTTTGCCCCCTTGACTGGTTGGGGACCTGGGGAAAGAATCCAGGCCTCTAAGGGACTCCTGGAAAAGGGGACTTGGAGCCGTTCCGTTCCCTGGGCGCTGCAGCTGGGGGCGGGGCTGCGACCCAAAGTGGGTAATTGCACCCCCCAACTCTCATTTCGGGTACCCCCATCCGCAGCCGCCTTGGAGACCAGGAACCCTTTATTCCTGGGCGCCCGCATGGGGTGGGGACCGGGAGGAGGGAGATGAGACGCCCGGGCCGGGAGGGGTCCCGAAACTCGAGCAATGGCCAAAAATAATAACACGGAGAAGGCTCTTTGCGCAAAAGAAGGAAGACAAACTGCGTCGCTCCGGGCAGCCGGCGTTACCTGGAGTCGGCGGGCGGCGGCCGCCGGAGCGATTACTCACCGCGTGGCGCACCCCACCCGCGGGCCGCTGAGTGGATTTTTCCGTGGCGGGGTGTGAATAGGTCCCGGGGGGAGAGCTTCTTACCGCTCTCCTCCTGGGAATCCCTACTACTGCGGTGCGGGACCCAGTTCCCGCGCAGGCCTGGGTCCCCGCTCCCACAGGGGACTACATCTCCCCGTCTGCCCACGCAGGAGCTCCCTCCCGAGGCCCCCGGGGCGCCTAGAGCAACCTCAAACCCATCCCGCGCGCGAGGGGGACAGCGCAGCCAGGGAGAAGGCGAAGGACTCCGTGCCTTCCTGCTTTTTCTCCTTTCTTCCAGCAAAGCCTGGGGCCGAGGCTACTCGCGGAGAATCGAAAAGAGGAAGGATGAGGTGGGAGGGCTGGGACCCGCGCGCCGAGGGCGTGGGGCTGGGGGTGACTTTTAGGCCCCTGGGAAGGCAGAGGGGCTGGAGATGGGGGTAGGCGGGACTCAGGGACCGCTCGGTGGGGGGGCGGGGCCAGAGCTGGGGTGGGGGCCGAGACAGAAGATTGGGCGGTGGAGGGGGGAATGGAGGAGCTGGGGACCAAAGGGGCCACTGAAGAGGCACTGGGCTGAGAGGAGGGTGCAGGGAAGTGGGCAGGGTTATGGAAACGGGATTGCGGGTGCCGGGTCCCAGACTGGGGGTGGGAAGCCTGGAGCTGGCAGGGTTGGAGAGGGAGGTCCTGGGCCGGTAGGGGTTGAGTAAGTGGGCTCTGGGCCGCGGGATAGGGCGCGCGCGGTTCGCAGAGGG